GGAAAATCAATGAAAAAAAACGGAGACGTAACAATATATACAGATTTAATTTTCAGAAAAAATATAATTCAGCATTTACCATCATATGACAGCATTCAGCTAGTGTACATAGAATTTATGTGTATGTACAGACATCTTGTAGATCTGCTCCAGTCATTCAGCTAACATACTCTTATTATATGTTAACCCTTACAAGAACATATTCTAATTTATTTTTTAGTTTATGATATTTCTCAGTTAATTGTAAAAATATAAAAGCACTGCTGTATTACTGGGCATCATGTTTGTGCATACACCCAAATGTTCCTGTGTGCATTTTGTATGATTTGTTTAGTTTGATACTGAAAGCACACTTAAATCATGGCTCTGTCTCTGTAGCCTATTTTTGTTTTAGCTATGGGACATTTCAATTAATGTCTGCTTGGGGCCATAGTTATGTGATTTGGACAACATATTGCAAGATTGATGAAACAAAAGTAAATTATCCTAAATATTATTTAATTAAAGAGATAGAACATTCTATATTAAATAAAAAGTCAGTTTCCAAATAGTAGCTATTGGAATAATATAATTTATAAACTAAAAAATTACTCCCAAGTAACTACAAACATCTTCTGTGATTAAATGTATTTTATTCAATAAATTTCAGTCTATAAGTATATATGTACTTGTCCATTTTTTTTACTGTCATAATAATTACATTTGAAAAAAAACACGGATTAGTCATTACCCATTTGGTTATACCCATGAGCATTAAAATTTATCAATTTTAAATTGATAGACAGATGACTAGAAGACATCTCACAAATTTTTCTGGGTTATCACCTATTCTTAGTTAAGTTTAGCATAAATTGATAACACTTGCTAAGAACAGGCTATTTTTGTTACTTATTTTTGCATATCTGTCCTCAGTCTAAAGTTATCAAGTAAACTTGCCTTTGATATGACTTTGTGAATGTTTAGTAACAATTTTTCTTCTCAGCTCCTGTACATTCATATTCATCTTCTTTCAATTTTTTTTGTGTGCTTTACCAAAAGAGAGAGAGAGAAATGTGCAATGAGGTTTTCCTGAGGACTCTCTGTACCAAATCTAACTTGAACTGGAATATGCAGATGTATTAAACTTTATGCTAAATATTTCTTTGTTTTCATAATTTGTACATTTTGTGTCTAACTTTACAAGTACCCCTTTTGTTTACCACCATGTTCTAAGTTTCTAGCATTCTAATCTTTTGTTTGAGTTTTGTAAATTTATGATATTACTAGAATTTCCCATTGATTTTGAATAACATTTTTCTTATTTTCAACTAACTTCCAGCACCTCACAAACAAGTGTGAGACACAAAACTACTAGACTACTTGCATTTGTGTAATCAATATAAATTTTGTCAAATCTGTAACATGGTGAATAAAATAATTTATTCTAATGTTTATCATCAGTTGAAATGTTTCTTCTATAATCAAATAAGGGTGATGAATATGTGTTCAAATTATATAATTTCTATCAAAACTAAGTCCATGAACTTTTCTAAATGATTTTTCTTGTTAATAATGATTTATACAATCAATATATCCTTTCAAAATTAAAAGGAGTCAATATGTTTGATCATGTAAACAACTTCCTTTAATAATTTAGTGAAAGTTTCATTTTCATGTACAGAAGCTAACTAGCATTTTCAACCTTGTGCAAACAGTTAATTTTAGCAACTTACCCTTAACAGGATGTGTGTACAAGCAGTCACTGCTTTTCAGTGAACTTGTAGACTCACCTCAGTTGCTGGTCCAAAACCTTGTGATTGACCAACTACTACACAAGGAATGCCCTTAGACTGGTAAGCTTCAAGAACATGACTTAGATCTGAGCGTCGAGTTTCTATTATCCAACCAGCTTCTTCTCCAAACAAGAAAGAAACTGGTGACAGAGAGATATTCTTGATATCCACCTTAATACCACAATTGCCAGCAAAGGCCATCTCTAACAAACATGTGATGAGTCCCCCATCACTAATATCATGGCCTGCTGTAAGCATAGCATCTGAAAATATAGTTCCAAAATTGTATGCATTTATAAACTAGTACAAAGAACTTCTTTATGTGCGTACAGACCTTTTAATATAGATAATTACTGAATAATAACCTACTTGGACATAGATATTGGCTAGACTTATTTACTAACATTTCTAGGATAAACTTACAAGCATTATATATAGAAAAGTCATTAATCCAAAACTTCTATACCAAAAATAGTCAGGAAATAAAACTTAAAAATATAAAATGCCCACGAAGGCAATATCCTTAAAAGATAAATAAATCAGGCATTTTAACACATTTTTCTGTACACCTGTACTTTACTAGTCTTGAATCATATTTGTAAATGGTGTAAAACAGATACACACAAAAAAATCATGTTAATAATGTATTTCAGCCTTTTGGTAGCTTTCTTTAGCTTTAAGTGTTTTGATTAATGACATATTTAAATTCATAAACATAATTTATGCATAAACTTTTACTCTAAAAACAATGTAAGAGGTGTTTTAACTGAAATATGCCATATCATGTGATTTTGTTGATTAATAAGTACATATTTAGCACTGCACAATATGGTAGTAATTAAAGTTGACTCATCGAGAAGTAAATCAATTCAATCAATTTAACACAAGTTTTATTTACTCAAAGTGACTTGCATGAAAAATTGTAATTACATCTTAAACTAAAACTATTGATTTGTTTTCTGAGCTCAATCTAAGAACTAACTTGTTGTCCGACACTACATATAAAGTTAGAGACAATCATTGTCTATTCTTAACTTTAAACATGTAATTTTTTGCATATTCTGCCGTAATTATTTTATTGATTTCCTAATAATTATCACCATACCTCATAAAATTTCAATTTTGTTTTTCCCTTCATCATCAAGAATACCCACATAAAGCATTTTTGATTAAATAGCCTCAAACCTCTCCCTGTTCAACATTTGGTGTCACCGTCCAATGGGGAAATCGGGATTTTTGGCTGGACACTGACAGTGTCCAGTTGGGTTTAAGGAATTAAACTTTTCTGTTGAACTTTGCTGTGCTCAAAAGTTATTTATAATAAGCTGAATAATGTTCATACAGTACAAAGTTATAGAAATATATATGTAAATATAATGTAACACAATGGCAAAAGTCTATGTATTGCAGAACTTTTGTTGACTGAACCCACAATTAACCAGTGATTTAATGAGTTAAAATCTATCAATTTGCTTAGCGTAAGTACTAAAATAAAATAGTCTGATAATTTTGCTTTGGTGCCTGGTAATATCACTAAGCAGGCCTAACGTTATCAGATTTTCTTTTGTTAAGAGCCGAAAACATTGCTAGAAGCAAGGGTATCAAATGATGACTTAGAGCAGAGTGGTCATAGAAGCTTTTTGTAGTTTGCTTATTATTCATAATTAAAACTATTTATCATTAATTATACTTATTATTTTAGAGATTTAGCAGCACTTCTAGTAAAAGTTATTATATAATATCACTAAACATCAACAGGTTCAATATGGATACTCTTTCAATGTTGTTTTAAGGTGAAAAATCTTTATGTACCACTATACAGCATCTTGATACAGTCATGTTCTCCAATATAAATTATTCTTAAGGTCATCACATATTTATAATGTAGGAACCATATCTAAAAATAAACGTATTCCAGTCTAAAATTGGTTATAAATTACCTTTGATAAGATCTTGCGTGACAGAAAAACCATCTCTTAACATTTGTGGACTTTCCAAATCTGCAACTTCTTCTCCTAATTGATTGAAACATTGTGCCAGAGCTGTTCCTCCCAGGCGACTTTTTCTTCCAGACAAGTTGATGTATACAAGATATCCTAATACATGAAGCATTTACTGAACTTAAAAGTACCTTGAAACTGTTTTATTAGAAACCAAAATTTTGATGTTTTCCTAGGGAGAAAGTTGTGTGTATTGTAAACATTAACTAAATTTGACTTTGTGAAATAACTATTACTATAGAAGTAAAGTTTTTATATTTTTCATAAACTAATGCTCATTGAAAAACTAAATATGAAAATGCATAAAGGGATGGATTATTTTAAGCATAGATATGCACTTATGAGATATAGTGTGCCTCTGGTAAGTCAACATCCCAGAATGTGGTATTATGTGGTTCATCAATGTTCCAGAATGTGATTGTGGTTAGCCAATATTACAGAAAGTAACATTATGCAAAAAATAATTACAACAAACTGTAGAGATATTTTTTTTTTAAATGTGCACAAACAATAATATTTTTTTCTTATTAGCATCTGAATTTATTTCTCAACAGCTTCATCAACTCTGTTAATGAATCCTGAAATTCATCTAAATGTTAATCTACTAGATCAGAGGACACAACACAAAATGACTTAATTGTCTCTTATCTTCACACACTACATATCTCATGAATAATAACATTTATACCTTCAATCTGATAGAGAACACAAAGCCTTACTTAAGTAACTTTTATTTAGCTGATTTCAGTTATTATACTTAGGTTGGTTAAGATCCAATGCTACCACCTTCCCGAACAAAGATAAAAAAATAAAGGATGAGTCTACACATCCATCCAATAACCTACAAAGTAAGTTTATACAACTTAAGATCATATGCAAGACCTGTAGATTAAGAAGTCAAGACTACCAAGTTCGAAAGGGAAGACCACAAAGTGACATGAACTACTTGCAAGATAATCAGATTTTAAACAAACTAGAAGAAATGTAGGTACAGCCTACTGAAGCACCAATCCTCTAGACAAACCAGTCTGAGTGGTTTTGCAAAAACTTCAATATATTATTGGTATCCATGCAAGAATGTGTCATTGAGGTTACTTTTTAATTTAAGAAATTTTGTAATATTCATACAGACTAATCATTTCTTATCTATTTAACATATATATATATATAAATATAAAGTTTCACTTTCAGGAAGTTCACATTTTTAAATAAAGTATATCTGCATACATAACATGTGTAATAAATATGCATTTAGACTTGCAAGTCAAACACCAATAACAACACATTAAACAATGGGATTAGATCAAATGTGCCTAGAGATTCCAGAATGTGCCTTGGGGGTCAAGCTTCTTTTAGTTTATCAGTGGCCTTAATGGTTCACAGGAAAAACAAAAATATCAAGCCCAGTTAATTTACTTCAAATCTGTCCAATATATACAATAAATCATGAAATCCACATCATTAAAGAAACTGCGGATACTTTCAACAAACATTAAACTGAATTTTATAATATTTTGTTTCTTAACAGACTGTATATTCATTAGATACATTTTCTCTCCAACCAGAATATATGCAATGACAACCCAAATAATAGATTGTTGACAGCCTTGAAAGAAAAAATGACAATACATCTTGACCTGAATTGGACAAATTAACCAACATTTGTGTAACATAAATTAAATGAAGTTATTATATTGGTTTTATAGGTTCTGTCTTAGATTTATGTTGCTATATCATTTATTGAGACTGATATCATTACATCAGTGCAACCACACTTGTACAAGCACATATGTTTACATCAGACAAAACCTGGAGGGTTGGGAGATAGAAACACTGGGTTCAAGGAAAGTAAAATAAAGACAGAAATTGGAGAAATGTATTTTTGATATCTTACCATGATTTTAGGCCATTATTTTATGCATTAAGTAAACAAGTTTAACCCCATAAAAATGAAGATAATTCTACTCACATTATATATTTATAGTGGAAAGAATTGATTTTTTTCTTCTGATTTTCAACTTGTTGTTAAAGACACTTACCACATCCATCAGGACATTTGAGATCTGGTGTCACAGTGGCAGTAATATCAGGACATGGAGCATATGCAGAGATTACAATAGATCCTGTTAACAAAAGAAAATAAATATTTATACTCTGTTACCACATCTTTTTTGTTTTGAAACTCACAAATTTTATTAAAAGAAAGTGGTCTGATAGAAAATATAAAATACTATATTATATCAATTCATTTTATATAGTTGTTTAATTCTTGAATCTTTCAAGTTCAAAGTTTTTCTATTTAATTACAACAATGGATTTTGAACTAAATTAATGATATTCTTAATGTCTTCAAAGCATTTATTAAAAATTAATATTAACATTGCTTCTCAAGCTGAAAAAGCAATAATTTCCTTCATGGGTCATCAGTGTTAGCTACATCTCCAAATATACTTTTTTTATTACACGCCCCAAACAAAAACGTAGTTCCTCATGATCAACAGATAAAAATTATTTTGACACATATTTACAACTTTTATTATCCATACTTTCTATAGCATTTCTCCTGTAAATTATTTTCATTTCACAGATTTTTGTGTCATTATTACTTAAGAATCTTAATATATTTATGGTATTTTTATGAAATCTAATATCAAATTAGTTTCTTGTACAAAGTTTCCCAATATAATCATTAGGTGTAGAAAATATTCTGGTTTAATGTTTCACATGATATAACCACTTTTTGCAAAGTGCTTCTGCTATGGTCTCCTTGTGCATTAAAAGTACATTGTTAAATATTTTTATCAGATTTTTATGAGTCATAATGGTTTCTTGACGATTCTCAGTTGACAAAATTAAACTACTAAATCAGTGAGTTTGGTTAACATTAAAATTTTCCTTATTTGAAGATGTATTTCTGATAGATACTCAGCTTTGCACAGAGAATAGCTTCTTTTCCCTTGAGTTTGTGTGACCTGCCAGAGATCTCCTTATTACCAGCCTTGTGAAAACTCCCACTTAATTTCTGGGAACCATGTAATTTTGCACCACTACATGATGATGAAATCATGCACCAGAACCCTCCACCAATAGAAGTGTGACACACCTCCCTCTAGATTCACATTCATGAGTCCTCATTCTTTGATGAGTCAATAAAGAAATGAGCACCAGGAAAGTGTAGAGAATGGGTGGGGAGGTGAGTATCTATCAGAAATACATTTTGAGGTAAGGAAAATGTTAAATTCCAAAATGAATTCTCATCTCCACACACAGAATTGTTAGAGTCCCTTGTTGAATTGGTGGAGAGGGCAGTGAAAAGATTATCTAGATGAGATCCTTTCAAACACCCAAACAGAAAGCTCATGCGGTGTGAGACTCGATGGCAGGGGCTCCATAGGGTCACACTCATAGGAAAACACATCTTGACTCAACCAGAGTATATTCTTTACCCATGTATGAGAGTAGAAGAGGCAGAAAAGCCATAATCGTGTTGCAAGGATGGCTGAAACAGGTGCATGACCATCCGAGTACTTGCATACAAACTTTCACACAGCTAATATATGTAGTGAGGTTGGGGCTTATTCAAACCATATCTTGTTTCTCACCTCCTCTACCAATAGGTTCAACAGGTAAAACCAGGTGTGGGAGAAGAGCACTTGTGATAAGTATCCATGCTCACCTTCTTTACCATTAAACATTTCAGACCCCAGTCATCTGTGGGAGGAGGACACTTTATGGAATCGTGTCCGTATGAATACTTATATAAACCTCTACTTGACCATCAGTCACTACAGGCCCCTTGTCTTCTGTGGGAGTGGGGTATGTGAGTGACACGTCACTAGTGTATATGGTGTGGTCATCTCAATTCTACTGTCAGTCACTACATGCCCCATGCCACCTGAGGAAGCAGGTCACTGTATTATATACATGAACAGCCAACCATCAATCTGTACGTGCCACACACACACCAGCTGCAGGAGTGGGGTTGTTTTTGTAGTTTTCAGTACAATTTAGAATTGAACTTTGGCTGCAAGAGGAGTATTTCTAATATGGATATATATAAAAGGATCAGTTTATTGAGATGTACCATCAGTCCACTTGAACATTGTGATGTATCACAGATATATATGTGGTGATCTGCACTACACTCTGGTGTCACCCTAGCTCCACTTTTCACTGTAAAGGGACCCCTTGTTCTAGCCCCTGTGGTTAAGTCCCAATAAGTGAGGATTCTCCATGGTCCACCACCCCAGCAGCTGGGATCTGGTAAGTTGCAAGGGTCTCCCACGCTCCACTTGATGAAGGGGGGGGGGGAGAAGTCATATTGCAGAGACCCTGAGAATGTGCCCAGGTCCCCATTGTTCCTTCAGTCTGGAAAGATCTTTTACTGGAAACAGTGCAATGGGTAACTATGAAACCCTAATTTTTAAAACCCAGCAAGCACTAACCTAGAAGTGGGCAGAAACAGTGCTCTGGTGCTGGCTTTTTCCATGATAGCCTATGGAATGGGTACAGTCTGGATTGGACATGAACAATAATATAGAAATATCATGAGGAAATCTCAAATGGTATTGCAGAACATCCCATCTTACAGTGGGCACTTGTACAGCCAAGGTGGATGATATGAGCACCTTTCATTGTCTTGGCTAGATGTGGATTTTGTATAAGTATACCTTGGGGGGCAACACTAGCCACCTAGTGGGATCCTATTGTGGTTGAAAGGTGAGAAAGAATTTGTACACTCACTTGTCTAAAGAAGGAGGGTGGTTTGGAGAATGGTCATAGGTGAAAATCTAAATTCTTATGGAGTTGAGACAGCCAAATGGAGCAGATAGCTGGTGATGAAGAAATGTGGGGTACTCTACATGCCAGTCTGGAGTATAGAATGAAGACTCAATGAGAAAGGTTATCTAAAGAATGTGGGAGGTGATGAATCTGAAGAGAAGTGAAGCAATTGGATATTTTTGAGGGAATTTTATAATTGCTTCAGCCTTTTATGTTTAAGAAAGAATCTAAAAAACTTAAGTTTCTGAGTGTGATGCATATACGTGAAGAAATTGCGTAAATAAAGGTCGCCTGTATTACAAAATTGGGACAAGAACTAGGCAAAGCACAGTTAGATAGTTAGTTAGTATTGAGAATCCCAAGTTAAGAGTTATAAAAAATGAAGTTACAGCGAGAACGCTGAGAAAAATGCTAGTCATGAGTTTCACAGTGATAATTTACTGACACTGAGTTAGTAGCACAGTATAGACTACTAAAAAGTTTATGATAACTTCTCAAATTGGCACTTTATTGTAAGATTCATTACTTCATGTAATAGTAGTAGTATAAGTGAGAAGGCAACCAGAGCACTCACCATTACAGTAACCAATTACTTGAGAGTTTTGGTTCTAGTTTTGGAAATGCCCCATGAGTTGCAGAAATTAGCCAATAAAGTGTCAGAACTTCTTGCAGGACTACTAATTGGAAAATTGAATGGATACAAAGAAAATACAGTATAAAAATTTGTGTCTGGAGCTAAAAATCAAGATCTGCAGAAAGAATTGAAGTCTCCAAGTCAACATGAATATAAAGATTTCCAACCTCCAGAGATATACCAGTCCGACCTTGTTGTAAGTATAGAATTGCCATCTCTCTTATTCAGTTAATGTAGTTTAAAGGAAGTTAATGCTTATAACAGGGAGAAATATTCTATATGTATTGGTTAATAGTGTTTAACTGAAAAGTGAAAGTTAGAATTCTTATGAAACTAATGGGTTAGTAGATGTTTAACTGTTGGTATTAAAGGTGTATACTATGTGGAAAGACCTAATAAATGTTGATGTATTTTATTCAATGTCAGTCTCAGAATCAGTTTCGTTAGTCTAACTGTAAATTACCTCGAGTTAGTGACTTGTGAGCTCCACTCACCACTGCAATCCTCAACTAAATAAATTTGGTGTAATTGGCAGAACAGTCAAAGCTCCAATGAATAGCCCTAAGAGCACTGCCTATTACAGAAGAGACACAATAGAGCCTACAATCAACCACCATCAAAGAGATGTAAACCAGAAGGATAAGCAAGCAGATCCATCCTATAAGAGTGGAAGGAGAGAGATTTCTAGTAAAGGAGGTGTGTCAATGAATGAAAGGATGGTGATTGGAACTGCAAAAGGAGGGAAAAAAAAGAGTAGCAAAACAATGAATTGCCTGGACACAGGTGTGTATCTTGTACTGAATGAACATAGACAAAGGATATGGGAAGAAGATATGAACACCAACCTTTCTTATAGAAGACTAGAGAAGGAGAGATCAGCCTGGATAAATGAGAAGGTGATGTTTAACCCTCTCTCCATGGGCATCTATTTCTACATACGTCACAAGGTTTTTAGAGAGTTACATACAAAATGTAATTAAACTACTTTCTTGGCAGAGAATACCAATAAATGTAACATAAAAATGGCAATATTGAAAAAAAATCCTGAATTTCCCCTCTTCTCTAATTTATTTACTACCCCTCCAAGAAGTACAGAATTTAATGTAAGTTACTTACTCAAACAAAGCATAATTTTTATAGCCTTCAATCTTATTTGATTACGAAGCTATCAAATAAAAAATCAGACCCCTTTTCTCACCAGTTATGTCCTCTCTATCAAAAATTGCCAACAGTTTTCTCCGATGTTCAATACTACAACATTTATAACCAATAGCCTAAGCTTTACTCTATTAAATGATATATTATATTTTGTTGTTTTCAGTACAGAGTACAAGGGAAACACAGTGACGAGCCTAGATGAAATTTTAACGGCTCTTGTCACATAGTTATAAAGCCAACAAAATTGTGATAGTTATGAGACATTGTCTCCTTTTTGCATGTTATTATTCTGTGTTCTTTGATGCATTATTTAATTAAATAAAAAATACTGCAGTACTACCATTAGTATATAAAAACGTAGGGATAAGTGTCATCAACAGACAACAGCAAAAAAAAAAAGATTCAGATAAGTACAGGGAGAGATAAACAATGAACAAGTTGCCAGAGGTTAAATAGGGTCCAGGATAAGATCATGGAGAACTACAGTGAGATTCCACTCATGCAAGTAGGAAAAAGATGGGTGTCTATAAATAAGGAAGGAAAAGAAGAGGGTAGAAAGGACCAGTGAAGAAATTATTCTGCAGCATAGGGAAAAGTGGAAGAGGGTATGAGCAAGAGGGTATTTCTGAAAGAGTGATGGAGTGGACAATCCTACACATGAGCAAGAAGGTATGTCCCTCAAAGATGAAAGAGTGATGTGAAGTTGGATCAAAAGGGATTGCATGTTGGGAAGGGGGTTAGGTTAGAAAACAAGGATGGGATTGCCAGTGAGGGATCACCAACTGGACCCTGCAAGGGGTGTCCCAGATCAGAGATAGGACTAGAGGGAGAAGGCAGAGTGGAGGACAGGTCTATGAAAAAAAGATAGGACCAGTCGGGAATGAGGGTATAGACAGGCAAGGATGAGGGATGAGAAGCAGGAGACCAAAGGAATGTAAATTTGGCTTTAATGGGTGTGGCAAAAGCATTTATAGGGGGAGTAACAAATTGAGAGTAGGTCAATGGAAGACTTATGAGTGGAAGGACCATTCTGTGTGTGGGACACAGTCTTGCCAAGAAAGGCAGCCTGTGATAATTTTAAGGAGGAGGACCAATGTCAGGAAACAGAAGGGCCTGGAGTGTGTGACCCCTTGGCAGTTGACATAAGATACAACAGTTGAACAGTCCAATCAGATCAGAACTAACTGATTCATAAGGAGGGGAAAGAAATGTGAAGATGCCTGATGATAAGTAGAGAATGCTCCTTCAGGGACCAAGATCCCAAGGTCAGACCATTCTTCAGATACACTTCCCATCCTGAAAGAGAAGCATCCATAAACAGGTGAAGGTTCAGTTTGGGAGGAGGTAAGGGAACTCTGGAGGTGGTGTTGGAGCAATATAGCCACAGAGCAAGATCCCCCAGAAGAGGAGGAGAGAGGTAAATCAGTGAGGATAGTAGAATCCTGAAAGGTTCCACTTGTCGTGCAACATCTACTATAGGGGATAAATGTGTGCAGTCAAGTGGAAGGAGAGGTTTCAGAGAAGCCATGGTCCCCAAAAGAGAAAGAACCTCTCATGCACAAAGTGAATGAGAGGTGCAAAACATGCTGACTAGACATTCAAAGTCCAGTAGGTGAATGGGAGAAAGTTGAGCACAGCTGAGACAAGTTGAAGGGAATTCCCTTGTGAGTGAGAAAAAGGTGAAGAAGGATTAGAAAGTTTGACAAGCCATCCCAAATGGATGGATTTATGAAGAAGAAGGAAAGCCTGTTGGCAGGATTATGCTTGGGAATAAGCAGATGGGGGGTGAAAGGAGACAGATTAAGACTGAAGAACAAGAAAAACTCGTCTGTTGGTTGAGAAATATGCCCATATGTTTGGAAGTGTGACAGATGGGCTTCCACAGGTCCTGAATACGGACATTACCAAAAACTCAAAACAAAGGAAAGGGGTGAAATAAAGGTCCCAGAGAAAGGTAAAGGGGAAAAGAATTGAGATAGGAGGGTAAATCTTCCCAACATTTTCCAACAACAGAGGAACCAGGTAAAAAAGAAATAGCAAAAGAAGTAGAATAGGCTATAGAAGCAAAAATATAGAACAGAGAGATACAGATTTCCGAGAGAGGTCATCAGGGGAATTGAGAAGAGCTTCCAACATAAGGTGAAGGGAGGAAAGGTACTGAGGAAGGGTATTAAGAAGGTCATAAAGATGGAAAAAGTGAGGAATACAAAGGGAAAGAGCAGATATTGAATCTGACCTTCAAACTAGCAAAGTCAATCCAAAAAATGCGAGTCTTTGGAATGGCAAATCTAAAGTGGATAACATATGAATCAGTTAGGTGGGTAGGACAAAGTATAAAACTGCAGGAGCAAAGCTGAATCTGAAAGGAAGTGGCATGTACAGATGTCACAAGGAAGGGAGGAAATACAATGAAATCATGAGGAGGAGGAGGTTTGTGTAAAAGTGAATAGGAAGAAACAGAAGACAATGGATTAACAGAAATAATTGAACATATCTGAGAAATAAGGTGAAGAAAGTCAGAAGAAGTCTGAGGGTGAGTTCATTAGGTAGACAAGTTCTTAATGTAAACTTAGAGGTGGAAATGATGTTTGAATTCATCCCCTTTAGTTTCAGGCTTGAAATAATGAGAAGGTAAATGAGTGGCATAATGGACTCCATCACATGTTCCAAAAATAAAATACTTCCAGTAGAAATGGCAACAATTTGTTTTGTGTGAGAAGATTCTTCCCTCACATCAGCATTAGAAGTATTCACATTGAATGTAATGTCAATCAAGTGAAAAGTGAAAAAATTGCAAATCACAGTAAACTCAAAACATGCCAGTTCACAACAGTGCAGAAGAAAAGAATGAGAATTCATGAGCCATTTCACATGGAGGTGTATTGCACTCCTACTGGTGGAGGGTTCTGCTACATGATTACATCATCATGCAGTGGTACATATTCATGTTGTTTCATAAGAGATTAGGTGGGTGTTTTCACAAAGCTGGTGGCTTACAAATCTCTGGCAAATCATGTGAACTCAAGAGGAAAGAAGCCATTTTGTGTGAAGAGGAGATTATTTGTTTCTCAAATTGAACTGATATACACACTGAGTGAAGTAAATGTATTTTAAGTAACAACACTTTGTATTAAACTCCAGGTGTCTTAACAGCTACTATATGAATCCATGCTGTCACACTAATCCAATTAAAATTATGTTCTGAATGATGTTTTGTCGTTAAGCTGCCTCAATGAGTACTTGCTACTAAGCTCCAACACATTTAATGGTTCTTTGAGCAATTTTTTATGTTACACTAAAATTGTGCTTCAAAATTATTTTGAACACCATATTCACCTGTGCTTAACTGTCACTTGAATAGTTCTTTGGAGAATTCTCTGATAATGATAATTTAATTGCTGAAATCAGTTCCTTCCTAACTCACTCGTTTTCTGTTTTAATAATTTAAGGAAATTGTTTGTGACGTACTAACCTGGTGCTTTGATAGTTTCAGAGCCTAGTCTCGCTGCCATGCTCAGTGAATCTTTTCCTCCATCTACAGCAATTCCTAATGTTGACATTGTTTCACACATGGCTTGGCATGCTTCATATAAAGCAGCACCTTCTCCTGGGAGTTTAGCAGCCCACATCCAATTGGCACTACATTTCACATCCTGCAAATATTATAAAAGATAGGTCTGAAAGAATAAACTAAAGATATTATATATATATATTGTTTAACACTAATGTAAACTTGAATAAGAAATACCCATTTGATCATATAATTAACATTCAACACTTATTAACACAAATAAATGTTCATATGATAGCTTTGCAACACATTGCTGACAACTATTTAAGTTTTAAAAAACATACTTGAAGTGATGTAATCCTAGCAAACATTAAGTTTGTGACTGCTTCTGTTACAGACATTCTTGCACCAACTGCTGGATTTATAAGCCCTTTGATTGGTTGTTCTCCTATCGAAGTAGCTCCACCAACCTGAAATCAAGATAATGTAAACCTCATAGAATGGAAATAAATATTCAAGAAATTTAACTATATATTTAACAAATTAAAAGACAAGTTTCACATCTGAAACATGTTGTTAATCAATGAACATTTTGGATATACCCTTCTTTAGATAAAAACTTGAAATGGAAGTGGCTTGAGCTTTATTAACCAAAAAAAAATCAAATTTAACACTTTTCTACATATAAAACTTTATTTAACTTAGACTGCAAGAATCTTGAATAGAAAAAAAAATTAATTGAGAAAAATTATATAAACTCCACTAATCCAAATTCCAAGATCCTAGCATCAACAAACACCTTGGATCACTTTTAAGTCTTTAAAAATGGACCTAGTCTAATGGAACATAATACTTCAATAGTAGTTTCGTATGGTGTTTCTTACACCTCCAAATTCTGTTGGAGGTGAGTATCTGGGAGTAGGACTAGCGTGTTTCGGTGTGACAAGGATTCGGACTCACGACCCGCATATTGAGAATCGAATGCCCTAACCACCTGGCCATGCTGGGCCTAATACTTCAATGGTAACAATAAATGGACTATACTTCGACACTTCCATTGAGGAGGAATTCAGATGTTGTCATTTTCTATTATGTTTCACATTTGTTAACTTAAATTAACTAAAAAAAAAAACGT